GTAACAGTCCAAAGAGAAAGGAAAAATTGAAATCGCATCATATGACCCCTTTAATCAATTGATTAATTGATTGATTGATTGATTCGCTCATTTATTTGTTTATTTATTTATTTGCTCATTTGTTTTTTAAACGTTCCTACATGAAACAGCAACACGTTTCTGCCACTTCTGTCAAGTATCCTTTGTATCAAAACGTGTATTATTTTATTTTTTGTTTTATTTTGTTTTATTTTGTTATTCTTGTTCTTATATATAGTAGTAGTAGTAGTAGTAGTAGTAGGATTTATAAGAGGCAGGTTGTGACACATTGGTTGTGACACATTCCAATTGATGTATAAAGACGAGCTTGTACACTAGTGAGGAAGGGGGAGGGGGAAACGATCTGACAAGTCTTGAAAACACATTTAATTGGCTGCAGAGATGCTAGAGATGACTGTCATCACACAAAACGAGCTGTTCGTGGCTTTGTATGTGCGTTTGTGTGTGGGTGTGTGCATGTGATGCTGTGTTGGGGCATTCAGGTTGCACCAATGGGAGTTTGTGTTTGTATGGAGAGTCCAATTAGGAGGAGAGAACGAGACACCCTACGACGAGAGAAACTACGGCTCATCAGACATCACCCACTCGCATATATTTGCGCACACAAATACCCTCACTCACCGAAAGAGAAGGCCTTAGCCCGGTTAAAATCCACAAAGATGAAACCAGTGCTGTTGTTGTTTTTGATTTTACAAGATTTTGTATTATTATTATTATTATTGTTTTTGTTTTTATTAAAGTAAAATGGGAATAAACCTATATGCTACTGAGCCAAATTCTGTTTAAAATGTAAACAATATTTTGTATTATTATTATTATTATTATTATTATTATTAAAGTGATAAAAATACGCATACTACTACTACTTTTACTAATATTAATAATTAAAGCAAATGGGGGACAAACCAAATACTAAGCCAAATACAGTCAAAAATTAACAATATTTTGTATTATTGTTTTTTATTATTATTATTATACAAAATATTCAATAATAATAATAATAACACCAGCGGTGTATTCCAGAAAGGAGGTTCAACAAACTCTGAGTTAAAACTTGAACTCTGAGTTGACTTACCATGAGATGGGAAACTCTGAGTTTTCGGTTTCTAAACAGCTGATCAGAGTTAGTTCAATCCACTCTGAGTAGGTTGACTCTGAGTTTAGCGCGTGCACCACGACTATGAAAAGCCATGATCAATGGAGCTCCGAAATTACGATTCACCATAGCAACAGCACCCGACAAAAAGACTTCTGCATACTACGGAACACGTAACTTTCATTCTAAATCAATGCTATCAGAGGTGAAAACTGGCAGGAAGGTAATTTATTGAACTAATATTAATTTTCATGGTATCCCACGGGGGGAAAAAAAGAAAGGAAAAGAAAAAAAATGTGGCAGCAGAAAAAAATTAAACATAAAAACATAATTCAATCAGGTAAATCTTCAAGCGTAAAATGGGTGTAGCAGTTTTTCCCACATAGTCTAATGCTTTTTCACATAATTAAATGTTCTCTAATCCAACATGTGGTGGTGGTTACGGCATATATCTCGCACTACCCTTCCATCTGGCATCCTTCCATACCATACAGTAATCAGCTTCATTTTCGGAAGGTGCGATGGTGAGAATGTGTGTAATCAATGCATCCAACCACACTGGAAATCCTAAAGGAAATTCTAATTATTAGGTTACTTAGAGGTCGCAACAAGATGTTATCACGTGAACGCCATTTAAAAATGGTACCGTTCAAATAAATATGCATGTGGATTTGGCAAAATAAATAAATTAGATCAAATTAAATTAAATCCTCTCCTAATGTAAATGTAACTCCCCGCGAATTAATGCAGCCTCCTTATCTACAGGATCCCTTATAAAAAAGACATGCCATTTTTGTCACATTTACCGTGTCTGCATGATGAAAATGAAAGTGGTGCGGTGAGAAAAATAATCTTGTTTCCATTTTCATTAAGATTATTTTTCTTACCTCTCTGGCAATTAATTTTACTTGTTTCCCCCAGGAAACAAGACTAAATATCGTGTGTATTTTTTCTTATATAGAAAATGCATCATGATTTAAGAATTTTTAGATATTTGTAAT